ACGACGACGACGACGATGATGATGACGTGGGCGATGACGACGACGACGACGATGACGATGACGACAGACAAAGCAGGTGACTCTATATCCCAGTAGAACTAACATCGCCAGAGGAGAATCGCTCTCGCGTGTCGTGGTGTTTATGCCGCGGACATGCGCCGTCACACCGGTCACTCACTCACTGCGCACACACCTACTGCCGACTCTCGCTCGACTATCCACTCTCACTACGGGAGCTGAAGCCATCCTCGCATCGCGCGGGAGAGAGATCGATGATATACAGAGAGAGAGAGAGAGAGAGACACACACACACGCACGCACGCACGCACCCACAGAGAGAGAGAGAGAGAGAGACCGACAGACAGACAGAAACGAGAGCATAATAAGATTGCATCACCGAACTTTGGAAATAAACATAAGTGGGGCAAAAATTTAATATGCGCGTATGACAGTATTGGAAAGAGAAGTAGGTTGAGATCAAACCCAGTGCGGCGATAAGAGAGCGATGCCTGCTGAATATTTTGCTCGCCACTAGCCAGCGTAAATTTACTTATACCGCACCAGCGACCATCTTAACTAGAGGGCAGCTGCCGGTGGCGTTCACAGGTTAATAGTAAGTTTACATAAGCTTAATAGCAGGATATTTAACACATAAGCACATTTCATGACCACGTTATTCTTTATAATTTGAACTTATACAACACGTCATTCGTATTTAGGTTTAACGTGAGAGTTTTAGAGGTCCAGTTGGCAGCATGACGTATGTGAGCACACATGATATGAGCGAACAAAATAATGGTCAGTGGCCTAGCGTAGTCAACAGCTATATATGTATAGAATGCGGTAACGTATCGTATAATATGGCAATATGCAACACGCGCACTTTACATATATCTATTATATATTTACATATAGAGTAGTCAACAGCTATGTATAGAATGCGGTAAAGTATCGTATTATATATGGCAATACGCAGCACAACACCATTGGAAATACTTTTGAATTCTTGGAAATGAGAATTTCTGCTAATGTTTCGCAATTTTATGGTAAATGTGGCACCAAAGCTTAAAAATCGGCTAAAGATGAGGTAATCTAACTATAAATTGGCGCCCATTTCTTCTGCTGCTACAGATGTTTATGTTTCGGTGTAAAGTTGGAGACTTCAAATTGTACAACGTGTAAATACTCTTTACAAAAATCAGGGTGAACATCATAAATATATACAACTTGCAGAATTTATTCCAAA